CGGTTTGGCGCCTGCCTTTGGCCCAGGGCGCGATCCTGGAGACCCGGGATCGAATCCCACGTCAGGCTCCCGGTGCGTGGGGCCTGCTTCTCCCTCTGCCTGTGTCTCTGCCTCTCTCTCTCTCTGTGTGACTATCATAAATTAAAAAAAAAAAAGAAAGAATGGGTGGAGGTTACTGGTTGTTTACCCTCAGGATCCAGGGGCTGATAGGGAGCTTTGGCTGGTGGCCCAGCATCACAGGAGATGATCCTACTGCATATCCCTGGCCTGGGAAAAGATCCAAATTCACAATTTGACGTACTATTTCTACTGAACGAGTATTGCTTTCACACCAATATAAAGTCGAAAAATCGTAAATTGAACCATCCTAAATTGGGGACCATCTGTACTTGAAAAGTGTGATCTTATTTGTTCTTCAAACAACTCTGAGGCATGTACTCTGTCTCAGTTAGTTTGGGCTGCTGTCATAAACTACATAAAGCCATCAATGGGTGGCTTGCAAACTATAGAAATTTACTTCTGACAGTTCCGGAGGCTGAAATTCTGAGATCAGGATGCCAGCATGGCTGGGTTATGGCGAGGTCCCTCTGCTGGGTTGCAGAAATCTTGTTGCATCTTCACATGGATGAGGGGGTGAGAGCATTCTCTGGGGTCCCTTTTATAAGGGTGCTAATCCCATTCGTGACAGCTCCATCTTCACGATCTAATTATCAAGCCCTACCTCCTAACATGGTCACATCAGGGGTTAGGACCTCAACATTTGAACTGGGGAGAGGGGGACACATGCATTCAGTCCTGTGGTTACCCCAACCATCTGCATACTACAGATGTGGAAATTGAGGCTCACATGGTTACCTGCACGTCCAAGGTCACACAGGTGAGCAGCAATGCCAGCATTAGAACTCAGGTCACACTCTTCACACTGGGTCTTTCCAAGTTCTGTAGTGTGAGGAAGTAAAAAAGGCAAAAGGTGTGGCACCTGGCTGGCTCAGACAGTGGAGCGTGCGACTCTTGATCTCGGGGTTGTGAGTTCAGCCCCGTGTCCAGTGTAGAAGTGACTTAAAAATAAAATCTTAAAAAAAAGGCAAAAGGTGAAGTGTGAATATTCACAGGATTCATGAAAAGAACCAAGCGGCGAATGAGGACTGATGGTGGGAGGGTGGCACTGCCCGCAAGCTGCCCGAGTTCTCTGATGGAGTGTTGCATCCCTCAGGGGACGTGGGCGAAGAGGAACCTCCCGGCAGGATCCCAGCAGGTGGAGTCTGGGATCGGGCACCACAGTGTTTCGGAAGCACGCTGTTACCCTGCTGTGTGGGTTAACTCCCCCAACATAGCGTCTTGCTCCTCGCCTGCCCCCCCACCGCCCACACGTACCAACACTTTCGTCAAATATGGATGCAACACAGAGGCTGCTGATGGTTTCGGAGAAACATAAATGTTCGTTTCCTTTATTCCGGTCATGCCTGGAATGCCCCTCGTTCTACGGCCCTCTTCCTTCCCTCCTCCCCACCGCCCCAAATAAAATAAAATACAATAATAGCAGCACGCTAGAGTACCCAATATGCTCTGCGTGCAAGCTTGGTTAAACAAATCACATTGACCTTTAATAAAGATGTGCCGGATGCTTCCTGCTCTCATTCAGTATGTTAATCTTCGGGCCAAACCGCCATCAGAGCAAGCCCCATTAAGTGCAGAGCTGATCTCGCTACTCCCCTGCTTTAAACCCTTCAGTGGCTCCACATCGCCTGCGGGATGAAGCCCGAACTCCCAACAGCGCAGAGAAGGGCCTCCCGGGTGTGGCCTATGCCCAGCGCCAGCTTCATGTCACGCACACCCCTCCCTCCCCCTGCAGCCCACCAGCGCTCCGGCCCTCAGCCTTGGTGCATCTCTCTCTCCATCCTCAGTTCTTTCCCTGGTGGAAATGTCGACGGTGCCCTTGACAGCCACCCTGCTGCCAGCTACACACTGATTAACTCCTGTCATTCAAAATGCAGTTCAGGTCAGCTCCTCGATTAATACTCTCCTGAGTCCCACCCCCAGGCAGAACTGACAACCTCTCAACGCACCCAGTACAGCTCTATGTCACCATCTCTGTGGCTCCTTGCTGCATTTACTTAGTTGCATCCTGCTCACCTACACCTAGCTTAGTGCTTGACACATAATAGGGGCTTAAGCAGTGGAGCCAAATGATGGCAATTTGACATAAGCTTATTGTGCTGACGCCTGATGTGACGCCCAAGGAGCATCACGTTGGTGTGAGCTCTGGACACCGTGGCTTTGTCATGGAAGCACCTGACCACATAGGCCAGAGTGCAGACCCAGTCTAGCCATATTCCAATCAGTGTCTCTCCTGGGCTTGTCTTGATTCCCTCATGTTTGGATGGGAGGATAGACACATTAAAATGTAAATTGAAAGAAAGTCCTTTCTCCTAGGGTTGGCCTCCAAATCCAGCTTGAATACTCTATCTGTCCTGTGGTCATTCTGCGGACAGGGGTCCGGAGATGTTCAGTTCTCCCCCACTCAGGGTAATCAGAGGCCAGGAGGAGCAGTTGGGGCTGGAGCAGGCCAACGGTGGTTTTATTTATATCATTCCAAACCACTGGATCAGTTGATTTGTTCTTAATTCAGTTGACAAGTGAAGGAGCACTGAAATTCAAGTTTCCTTGGCAGAGATGACTCTTTTTTATTAGAGAAACTTAAGTGAGCAATTTCTGGAGGGAGAGATGAGAAAGGAAGGAGGCCTTTGCCCAGGAAAATGGATCAGGATCCCTGATGCTCAGGATCAGAAGGTAGGAACAGGCCTGGCCAAGGTACACTTATCACCTGATAGCTGAGCCTGCATGTATTTATTTTGCCATTTGTTGTCTGTCTCTTCAGTAGAATTAGAGTGGGCACTGCATCTATCTTGTTCACTGCTCTCTCTCTAGACCCTACCTAACCCTATGCCCAGCACAAACTGGTGCTTAGTGAACATCTATTGAGTGAATTAATGACTTTGGTCTGGAAGTCAGGAGAGCTGGCTTTCATTTTCCACCCTATAGTCAGCTAGCTCTGTGACCTTAGGCAGGTTACTGTGCCTCTCTGATCTTCTCAATGGGGATGTTGTTATCTGCCTGACCAATCTTTTTTTTTTTTTTAGATTTTATTCATTTATTCATGAGACACACACACACACACACACACACACAGAGGCAGAGGTATAGGCAGAGAGAGAAGCAGGCTCCATGCAAGGAGCCTGATGTGGGACTTGATCCCAGGACTCCAGGATCATGCCTGGGCCGAAGGCAGGTGCTCAACCGCTGAGCCACCCAGGCGTCCCATGCCTGATCAATCAATCTTATAGGTTATTATGAGGTTCCAGATGTATGTGAAAGTCCTTTTTAACCATTATATGTGCACAGTACTAAACCTGAAAGATTATGTCAATCACTGAAGAGTTAGTCCTTTTCCATTAGGAGTTAAAAACATGGATGAGAGACTCTAGGAAGACTGGAGAAGCCAGGTAGTTCCGTCCACCTGCCAGGCATTGGGTTCCATGGGCCTCCTGGACCAGCCACAGTAGTGGACACTCATGACAAACTGGAGGTGCAAGACCCCTAGGCACTTAGATCTGGAATCACCAGGATATAGAGGGTCATGGAAGCCATGGATGTAGATGGCCTTCTCACTGTACAGTGAGGAAGAGAAAAAAAAAAAAAAAAAAAAAAAACCTTGGACTTGTCCCCAGTAAATGTTAACACTGAGAAAAGCAGGTGGAGAATCAAGAGCCAGCAACAGAACCTGAAGGGAATGTCCAGGAAAAGGAATACCAAGCATGGTGTTTTGGAAGCCAGGAAAAGAGAGTAAGAGTGTGCAGAAAGAAGGAGAGGGATCACAGGGAGAGGAGGAAGGTGAGAGAGGTTCATTGGAATTTGTGGATGTTTTAAAACTTCAGTACATTACAGTGTTTGCAAAAATACAACCAATGCATTGAATTTAAAAACCGGAATGAGGGGATCCCTGGGTGGCTCAGTAGTTTAGCGCCTGTCATCGGCCCAGGGCATGATCCTGGAGTCCCTGCATGGAGCCTGTTTCTCCCTCCACCTGTGTCTCTCATGAATAAATAAATTTAAAAATCTAAAAAAAAAAAATGGAATGAAATAAACCAGAATGCTCTTGGCAACTGTTTTAGATGACAGAGATATTTATTATCCTCTTGTTTTATTTTTTCCCATATAGTCTAATATGCACTTATATAATTTTATAATTGAAAAAGTATATTTGATAGTAAAATACATAGGAGTGTGACTACCTCAAACAGGTGTAAAAAGAGAAAAGGTTATGTGCATAGGCCCTATGAGAGGAGATCCACAAAAATGAAATCAATTGTTGAACTTAACTGTTGAATCTCATGGTAGATTTGATCTAATTTGCTTTTCTTCCTAAAAGTGTTTTCTTAATGTTCTTTTAATTAAGCAATGTTAATAAAGAAAGATGGTGACTAGGCAATGTTTTAATAGGCCCTGGAGCCTTTTATGGTATATTTCATTATGACTATAACGCTATGGATCTAGGTCTCAGGGACCATATTCCCTGGTATGGTTCACCTAGGGTGAACATGTATTTGAGCAAGAAATAAGCCTTTGTTGTTTAAAATAACTGAGATTGGGGGGGACACCTGGGTAGCTCAGTGATTGAGCATCTGACTTTGGATCAAGTCATGATCTCAGGTTCTGGAATCGAGTCCCACATCAGGTTCCCTATGGGAAGCCTGCTTCTCCCTCTGCCTCTCTCTCTCTCTGCCTTTCTCTCTGTGTCTCTCATGAATAAATAAATTAAAATCTTTTAAAAATAAATATATAAAATAAAATAACTGAGATTGGGGCGGGGAGCTGCTAATTACTGTAGCCTTTCCTGCAGATGTGGTCTTCTGAAATTTGAAAAGAAAAAGAAATTATCAGGAATCCCAGCACTTTCTTGAGAAACCTAACTCTTAGGTCTTTCTTATTTCCTTCTCCAGATGATGCATATTTACTACAGGGACTTAATATAGAGGAACTATATCCAGAGACCTCTAGTTTCATTACGTATGATGGGTCGATGACTATCCCACCCTGCTATGAGACAGCAAGTTGGATAATAATGAACAAACCTGTCTATATAACCAGGATGCAGGTGAGCTTTTCTGTGGTCTTTTAGCTAAAGGGGAAAATGATGTAAAAACTGGCTGGATTTGTGGAGTGCCTGTCGATTAGTTTGCTAGGACTGCTTTGACAAAGTAACATAAACTCAGTGGCTTAAACAGCAGAAAAGTACTGCTTCACAGCTCTGGAGGCTATAAATCCAAGATCAAGGTGTCAGCAGGGTTAACCCCTTCTGAGGGACATGAAGAATCTGTTCCATATCTGTCCTTCTGGTGGGTGGCCAGCAATCTTTGGTGTCCCCTGGCTCATAAAAACATTGCCTTCATCTTTACATGGTGTTTTTCCTCTTTGTCTCTGCCCAAATCCCCTTTTTTATAAGGACACCTGTGTCCCACTGAATTAGAGCCCACCCTGATGACCTCATCTTAACCAATTATTCCTGCCATGGCCCTATTTCCAAAAGATCACATTCTGAGGTCCTGAGGGTTAGGACTTCAATTTATGAATTCTGAGGGTGCACAGTTGAATCACTACACCTATGTTTGAAGAACCAGCCTCTGAGAAGGCTTAGCATGAACTAATTGTAGGAGCATCCCATACGTCGGAATGAGAAAAGACCACAGAGTCAATTCCCAAAGTGTGCTCTACAGTCATGATGTTCACACAGCAAATGAGAAAAATGGATGATATGTCCAAATATGCTTGAAAAAGCTGATTTTTTAAAAAAAGTTAAATAGGGCTGCCTGAATGGCTCAGGCAGTTAGGTGTCCAGCGCTTGATCTCAGCCCAGATCTCAATCTCATGGTTGTGAGTTCAAGCCATAAATTGGGCTCCATACTGAGTATGGTGCCTACATTAAAAAAAAAAAAAAGAGTGAAATAGATTTCTTTATTAGGAAACTTCTCAGGGCCTTTAAATTGATAATATTTGTGTCAGTCCCCAAGAGGAAGTGTAGAATGTTTAGCATTTCATAAACTATTGAAATATGAAATATTTTAGAGCATCTCACAAGGCTAGTATGCCCCTGAACCACACAAGAACCAGGTCTGAGCATTGGGTGCCAGCTTTGCTAATGGCTCACTGTGCACACCCAAAGCCATCACCCCCACTTATGTGAAATCAATGCTCCTCCTCTTTATAAGGAGGGGGGTAAATCACATCTGTTCCAGTTCTGGCATTCTATGACTGTGAGCATCTATAAAAACTCAAAAGGAAGATGAGCAAAAAGAAGCAGAATCCAATATCCTTGACAGGATATGTACTCACAACCCAACAATCTGAACCATTTTAAGTCTTCAGTCCTACCTGTGTTGATTGCAATTCTTTTGGTGACAAGCCACCTCCTCCAGATAACTTAAACTTAGAAAAAAAAAAAAAAAGGAGGTATTCAAGAGATATTGGGGCATCTTTACGGAAGTTGAGATCAGAAATTGATGTTAGGAATTCATGAGAAGTCTGTCATCTCTGTTCTCTTTTGCTTCTTATTGCACATCTGCTTCCTTCTTCCCTGTTAGAGACAGAAAAATCTTCCTCTGCTTCGTGGTCCTGGGGCAAAACATGGTGGAAAACACTTTAGTCTCGATAGTCACAGAAAATGAACCAAACTGATCCAGCTTGATTTAGCTCTGACCCCTGGACCAGTCACTACAGTTTGGATAACACCCATGCAGGGGATTAATTTCCTGAATTACTGGAAGTTACGGGACCATGAGGTGTCCAAGTGAGAAGGGAGTGTGGAGAACGAACTAGGTAGATTTCGTCCTTTGATAGATGGTGTATCTGAGGATAAGAGAGAGCAAAGGACTTGCTCTGGGCCATGCGTGGCCTGGTGAGATGGAAGTAAGGCTCGCTTCGGGCACGGAGGCATGGAGGGGAGGGGGTGCCTGCAGCACAACTGAGTCCGTGGAGCAAGGGTCTCTTCAGAGCTCACGTGTGCCCTGTCCCACGCAGCCAGTGACACCTGGTCTGGGCACAGTTAGTAGCTGTACTTCTTCCCTAGCGCATTTGGGAGGATGGGTGGGCCTCAGCCATGTCTCTCTTCACAGATGCATTCTTTGCGCCTGCTCAGCCAGAATCAGCCATCTCAGATCTTTCTGAGCATGAGTGACAACTTCAGGCCTGTGCAGCCACTCAACAACCGCTGCATCCGCACCAACATCAACTTCAGTTTACAGGGGAAGGACTGTCCCAACAACCGAGCCCAGAAGCTTCAGTACAGAGGTGGGTGTGGTGGCGCAGAGGGTAGCAGGCCCCCAGGCAGCACTCCGAAGGCTGGGTAGAATTTGATTACAAATGACAGTGAGGGGCGCGTGGGTGACTCAGTGGTTGAGCATCTGCCTTCAGCTCAGGTCGTGATCCCGGGGTCCTAGGATTGAGTCTCCCATCGGGCTCCCCGCAGAGAGCCTGCTTCTCCCTCTGCCTGTGTCTCTGCTTCTCTCTGTGTGTCTCTCATGAATAAATAAACAAAATCTTAAAAAAAAAATGACAGACCACTCCCTTTCCATTCCTATGGTGCTTTTCCGTTGGCAAAACCTATGTATCATTAGAAAGAGACACAGAGAGAGGTAGGGGGAGGGGTGTCAAACCTTCAGATCCCTTATGGTTCAAGCAAGAAGCATTTGAAAAAAGAAAAAGGAAGGAAGGGAGTTTTACTGGAACCCAAGTGTGGACATCTGCTGAGGTATACTGTCTTCACCAGGAAGAGAGTGGTCCTATGAAAGAACATTTGGTGGAGGGTTTTTTGTTTTTTTTGTTTTTTGTTTTGTTTTGTTTTGTTTTTTTTTTTGCACAAATAGTTACAAATCATTACACTAAGGATGTTTCAGGAAGTTGTATACCTAATCCCGAGCTTCTAGTATATGCAGCGCCATAGGACTTTAAACTGATGGGAAACAGGAAAGTGTTTTCCTTTTTCTTCTTAAGTTTTTCTTTAAATTCCAGGTAGTTAACATACAGGGTGATATTCATTTCAGATGTACATTATAGCGATTCCACACTTCATACACCACCTGGTGCTCATGACAAGTGCACTCCTTCATCCCCATCACCTAGTTCACCCATTCCCGCACCCACCTTCCCTCTGGTGACCATCAGTTGTTCTCTGAGTTAAAGAATCAGTTTCTTGGTTTGCCTCTCTCTCTTTTTTCCCTTTGCTTGTTTATTTTGTTCTTAAATTCCACATCTGGGTGAGATCATATGGTGTTTGACTGATTTATTTTGCTTAGCATACGATAGCATTTTTACTGTCATTTTACCCAAGGGCCCAGAGAGGCTAATCCTCCAAATCTGTTAGAACAGGGCAGCTAGAAGTGCTCAAGCTTTTAGTTAAGTGCACAATGTACCCCCACCCTACCTCCTTTCCCCAAAAGGTGAGCAAATACTCTGGATGCCAGGCCATTGGGATCCAATGAGGTAACTTGTGTGAGCACAACTTTTTCCGATGCTATGTCCCTAGAGGTGACTATTATCCCTACTAAAGGAGACATTTAAGATGGCCCCTGCCTCCTGTAACCCTCTTGTCCACATCTGGCCCTCTCTTTTCGGTTATGCATGCTAAGTATCTGTTGATGGCTGTGGTAAACCCATGACACGGAAAGGAAGATAGAGGCAGAACAGAGTCGTGGAGATTTCTTCAGCAAGGAATCCACACACCTGAGCTCCAGGACTGGTTCTGTCATTATCAAGTCGTGTAAACCCAGCCAAGCCTTTTCCCCTCTGGACCTGGCTTCTTTCATGATGCTCTCTATACCATCTATTTCATTACTTGGGAGGAGCAAATGAAAGGCTGGATGGGGAAGCCCTTTGTAGCAATAATGTGCCACCCAAATATGGGGGTTATGGATGTCACAAGGCAGCTTGTAGAAGCAGCTACCACTGCTGCCCATGTTCCCCCACTTCATCTCTCCTACTTTCCCACATCTCCTTCTTTCTTTTTTCTCTGTCAGACACATGCAGTCTCAAAACTATAATATTCTGTTTCCTTCCAGCCAGAACTACCAGAAAAATAACTCTGTTCATTCATTGAGCCTTCCCTTTATTCAATATGTAGTTATTATGCACCTACGATGTGCCAGGCACTTAGCTAGGTGTTGGGGAGACAGTAGTGATGAAGACAGGGCCCCATCCGTGCAGAGCTTATGGTCTAGAATAGGGGTCACAAACTTTTTCTGTAAGAGCCAATTGGTAAACACTTTATTTAGGCTTTTGAGTCATATAGTCTATGCTATATGGTAGTGTTGTAGTGTGAAAGCATCCATAGACATATGTAAATGATTAGGTGTGGCCACATTCCATTAAAACTTTATTTACAAAAATAGGTCACAGGCTACATTTGACCTTTGGGCTGTCATTTGCCCACCCCTCATCTAGAGTACTACCATCCACTGAATCTTTCTGTGACCATGGAAATGTTCTATACCTACATTGTCCATTATGGTAGCTACAAGCCACATATGGCTATCAGGCATTTGAAGTGTGGCTAGTACAACAATGCAACTAAATTTTTTGTTTTAATTTTAATTTATGGGAGCTACATGGGACTGGCAACAACCATATTGGACAGCTCAGGCCTCAAGGTTCATGAAGAAGTGGAAGGGGTGGTTGGGATACATAGATGCAATTTACAGAACTTTGGAGTAAGCCTCCCAAACTTTGTGTGCATTAATTCAATGATGCTTCATTCTGTGGTGTTTGTGTATGTGTGTGTGTGTGTTTCTTTCTCTCTCCTTCCAGTAAATGAATGGCTCCTCAAGTAAGGAATGAGGCCAAGAAGAATCTCAAGAAGAAATGCTACAACTGTGAATTGATGTAACCTAGAATGCCCCCTTCTTTCTTCTCTCTCCCTCCCTCCCTCAAGCCTCATTCACTCTTTGGATTGGCCCTTTCTTCATGAAAAGTATCTGCAAAACCATGGCAGAGGAACACATCTGTTACTGACACACAGTCACTGACACACACACACAAAAAGCACTCACACACACATGCAAACATATCTACACACAGACACACTCCCATGACCTCCAAGATGGGAAGTCAAATTTCAGAAAACAAACAGGCTCATTCATAAGAGATCTTAGAAGAAAATAACCAGTTAACCTGATTACAATTTTGATACCGTTTCCTGAACTAATAAATCTACCCAATGAGACTTTTCAGCCTTTGTACATACAAAATTCTTCCAAAAGAGAGAGAGGAGGAAACACAGCTCCAACAGCATCAAGTGGACTTTGTTCTTGGCATCAAGTTATCTCGGGTGGTGTCCTAGGATCCTCTGAGGATGCTGGTGACAGGTGAACCAGGACAAAGTTGGCCAAGGACACTTATTTCTAAGATTATGATTCTTCTGTTTACTCAAAAATTTCAAAAGAAAAGGACAGACATTGAAGAGATACACATTGTATATATATCACTGCAGACTATAAATGGAAATATTTCCCCTCTTTGTCACATATCTGTAGTAGGATTTGCCAAGATCAGAATCGATCCATTTGCTGTTTCTTGTTTTCCAAAGGTCATACATTGTGTTTGGTTATTGTTAACAGCTCAATAAATGTGTTTAACGAGTTGATTTCATTTTTCTGGCTTTGGTCTGTTCTCCTTCCTTACAGGCAAAGCCCTGACTCCATGCAACTGCGTTCTTTGATTTGACTTGTTCTTTCATCTACACGTTCTGTTCATTTGCAGCCAGTTTTTACTCAGTTTGTGGCAATCAGGAATGCATTTGCTAAGCAAGTATAACTTTAATTCCACTCCATGGCTCGATCATTCATACAAGGTGAGCTTCAGCCTGAGGTAGCAGGCGACAGATTTCTTGCATTTCAAAACTGCCATCCCCCCTGTGATGCTCCCTTGAAGGAATGCACTTTGCCTTGTAAATTCCTGGGAAGGGGGTATCTTTTCTCTCCAGGTGCAGCCGGATCTCACAAAATACAAACGAATGCCTTTCTTTCCTTGTTTATAATGGTCACTCACTGTGTTTGGTTACTGTCAAGAAATCAATAAATGTGTTTAACAAGTTACCCGGTACCCGTGTCTGAGTTTATTGAAGAGGAGGATGCTCCCTGCTGAAGTCTCTTGAGTCCTGCTGCGTCCTCGAGCAATTGCATTGTGGCTGACAGGGCAGCAGAGCCACTAGAGCCACCTGGCTGGCCATTCCCAGAGCCGGGTAATTAATACCCTGTTGAGAAAACATATAGGCTTAACTCCTGGAAGAGAAGATTTGGATGTTTGTTCAGTGGCAAAATTAAAAATAACTTTTGTCTCTTCTTTCCATCATAGTCCCCAGAAAGAGGGAGAGCACAGGCATGCAGGGTCCGTGCAAATGGGAAACGTCACAGGCACCTGGGAAACTTCAGCCAAGTGACATGTTAACCATTTGACAATGAAAAAAAGATCAGATGGCCAAATATTTCATTTTTGAAATAATACACTTAATTGAATTGTTTTCACTTTTTGCACCATTGTTAGTTAGATGATGGCCTTAGCTGTGATGACGTATGAGCCAGTTTCTGAGCAATTGTATTTTTTGCAGAAAACCAGATCTGTCTGCAAAGGTTTAGGGTAGACAGGTGACAGTCTTCCTTTGCATGGCTTGCTGCTTTCTTTCTGAGACAGAATCTTCCCTAGCTTGCAAGGGCAGGCAGCGGTGTAGTACAGTGGCTGAAGAAGATTGGTGAATCAACCAAACCTGGCTTCAAATCTTCGCTGTGCCACTTGCCCGCTTGCTGTGTGACCCTAGGCAAGTGGCTTGACTTCTCTGATCCATGCATTGGGGATGCATGGATCATAACTGCCTCCGTGAGTTGTGAAGCTTAATGCAACACAGCTACTTAAAGCAGCCAGCCCAATACCAGTGACTGTACATAGTACTGTACATGGTACCTGTAGGCCATGTGTGTGGCTCACCTGGCAGGGTTTATGTGGACCATACTATACCTCCCTCTACAGGAAGGAGCACCAATCACAACAAAGCCATCAATTAATATCAAATGAGAGAAATAGCCAGCAGTACCCATGTAGGTAAATGCCTGACTTGTGTTGGGATATGAGCAAGGAGCACTAGTGAGGAAGGAAGGGAGGCAGAGACCGGGTTTCTAAGCTCTGTTCTGTTATTGGCATCCTCCGTCATGCAAATCGGCTCCCCTTGCTGGGGCAGTGTCCTTATCTAGAAATAACTCAGACATGACCTCCCCACTATCATTCCCTAACACTCTCATTCACTTCTCAGTCCAGGGAGAGCAGAAGAAAACCCAAGCTGACACCACTGGTGTCACTGGGCCCAAGCAGAATTTTACTTTGGCCAAGCAGAACCAGAAATCGAGTGAACTAGCTGGTCTCTCACCTGCTGGGCTGACCCTAAATGTGCCTTCTCCCCATTCCCTGCACTACCCAAACTATAAAATGGAAATAGGGGCACTTTGCCCTCAAACCATGGGGGAGTAAGAAGGAATCACTAGATTTCCACCACTCTAAGAAAAAAAAGTGGGAAGCTTTAAACATATCAAAAAGTCCCTGGGAGTTGACCTGGTAAAGCCATGAAGGAACGAAAATACATTCAGCCATGTGACATGCATGGACGTTCAGGGGGGTGGGCAGCAGTGCTGGTTTTGCCTACAGAGCTGCAGGCTTAAATGGGCATCCTGCCCACCTACAACATGCAGGGACGTGCATGTCATGTCTCGGGTTCCCTTCTCCACAAAATGGGAAGGGGAAGTGAAAATATAAGCAGAAGAGATTGCTAGGCAAATTGCATGAGGAAAAGGGAAGACACAGTGTGGAGATCACCAGTGCCCCTCTCAAGGACACATTCTGTGGTTTCCAACACCATTTACAGCCTGGTTCCCACCTCCCTTGGTAGCAGTCTGGTTTCCATGGTGGCACCAGGACAACCACAACTCTGCACTAAATGTGTCTGGAATGTGAGTAATGTGGAGTTCGGGCAGCACAGCAGCCCTCCATCCCAGCCCATACCCGCCCAGCCCAGCTTAAGCTGAAGGGTCTGACAATCATTGATTGACATATGCCTGCATCCCCACGGTGGACCCATACCCTGCTGGACCCTAGAGCACAACTAGCTCATGAGAGTAACAGTTTTCCTCTTCTAGAAAGCCTGAAAGTAGGACCCCCAGGAGCAGGGACTCACTTGGACATCACTCACCAGCTAGGATGACTGAACATAAGGAAAAAGCATACCAATAAAGGCTACCATGGGTTACACATGTCCTGCAGGCCAAGCCCTGGGTTAAGCAACTTGCAAATATCACCTCACTTTGCCCACACAGAGACCCACGAGATCATCATCATTGCCATCACATGTTATAAATGCAGAAACTGCACTTCTTAAGAGTGGGTTTTGTGTTCAGGGTCCCACAGCTCATTAGTGGCAAAGCCAGACCCAGCTCTTTTAAGTCATTGGTTCTCAAAGTGTGGCCCTGTTGGTGTCACTGGAAAACTGGATAGAAATGCAAATTCTTAAACTGCACTCTGCAGTGGGGCCCAGCCACGTGTGTTTACCAGAGTCCTCCCAGTGATTCTGGTGCTCAGGTGTGAGGACCATCGTACACTAAATGCTTGTTCCTACACCCTCCTACTCTAGAAGTTCCCAAACTGTGCTACACATGAGACTCTCCCGAGATGTTTAGAAACCCCAGTGCCCCGACTGCGCTGCATACCTCTAAGGTCAGAATGTCGGGGTGGCAGCCAACTCTCAGTGTTTTGTAAAAAATCCTCAGATGATGCCAACATGCAGCAATGCTGGGAACCACATCCCTGTCTGAAGGACCTGCTCAGAGAATGGCTCCCCATAAGGTGGGTCCATGGGAGCCCAGAGGCCAGCATTATTTACTGGATCTTCTCGGAATCACATCCCTATCTCTGCTCACAGCAAATTTTTTGGTCTGAGAATGTTTCCCAGCCCCCTCCTCCTGCTCCAGATTTTCAGTTAACAGGTCTGGAATCTGAATTACAAATCTCCCTGCTTTAAGTGAAAGAAATATCAGTGTTTGAAATAATGTCTTGACACCAACCTTCCAAAACCCACCTCAGGTCGTCACTCTGGATTACTTGGATTGGAGGTAATATTTCTAAGACTTCAGACTGTCAGGAACAAATGGAAACAAGTGGTGAGTCAGGAGACCAGACGTTCAGAAAGATAAGATGGGTGCATAATTAAGCCACAGACAAATTACAGCCCTGTCAGTTCTGACGTCACAGTGTCTTGTCCATGCAGAGCTCCCAGACCATAGTAATATCCACCCAGCAGGTCCTCCTGCCTCCAGTCTCCAGACAAGTGAAAGACTCTGGGCCAAGATGCACCCAAAACAAATATCTAGACTCTGCTCCCAGATGAGGACAATTTGAGTCTATCCCGAATAAAGGTTGCGGGAAGTTTAGGCTAGATTGGGTGAAGGGTAGGGGTAGCAGTTAATCTAAGACACTTTCCAGAAGACAGATCAAACCACAAAGCTAAGCAGATAATCCAACAGGGTAGCACTCCAAAACCAATTTGATAAAGAAACAGATTCCAGGAGCAATACAAAAGGACAGGACCTATATGCAATACCTGGAATAGAGGTTAGAAAGTAGCACCCAGGGAACTAGACTCAGCTACTCTTCACAGAGTGTCTGCCATGGGCCAGGGTGGGGAAGAAGACATTGAGGGTCTTGTCCCATTACCAACCCATTTTAGGATCAGTGAACCAAAATCTCCAACTGGAGCACATCTCCAAGATGCAAACGTCAGGTAGTCCCCACTCGTTTACAGGCAAAATATTCAAACTCCTTAGCAAAGCAGGGAAACCTTCCCTTAATGGATTTGCAATGGATGCCTACAAATTCATGCCTCGGCCTCCCAGCCTCCATCTGGGTCATCCCTCAGCTTGGAACACCCTTCCTGGTTCTTCTTCACTTGTGGAAATGCACACCTCTTGAGAAACCCAATTCAAATGCCACCCCACCCGAGGCATCACAAGTTTCTCCAAGGAAAACTGTTTCTTCTCTGCCCTGAGCTCACACAGCCTCTTGACTGAAGATTTTATTTACTTACTTAAGAGAGACAGTGTGTGCCCAAGTTGGGGGAAGGGCAGAGGAAGAGGGAAAGAATCTCAAGAAGACTCCCTGCCAAGTGTGGAGCATGAAATGGGCTTCGATCTCAAGAACCTGAGATCATGACCTGAGCCAAAACCAAGAGTCGGCCGCTTAAACAACTGAGCCACCCAGGCGCCCCACACAGCTGATTGATTTTATCTCTAACATTTACTTCATTCAGGTCTGTATTAGAAATACAGATGCAGAAATAGATGCCTATTACAGAGCTAGAACTCCCTGTGGGTCCATATTTTTCCATCTGCCCACACCAGTCAGAAGTTCTCTAACATTAGCCTTCCATGCATCTTTGTATCTCTCCCTCTTATGCAAAGAAAGAAAAAAATTAAATCACATCATAATTCTTTGTAAATAGAAGATACTCAAACAAGGTGGTTAGTTGATATGTAGAATTTTCCTATGAGAGGCAGGATAATATTTGATTCTTTTCAATTCAGGGTTGTTGAGCTCCTCCTGTGTACTAGGTATACACCAAGCATGGTCCTAGGTTCTTTTACGTATGTTTTACATATACTTTTTTCTTTTATTTGGTGCCCATAGAGGTTCTGTCAAGTAGTTCTTGGCTTTATTTTGTAGATAAAATGTTAATCAGAGAGGTATGAAGTTATCCTAGATCACACGGTTGTTGAGTAGCAGAGCCAGCAAAGGCGGATGCTAGAGAAGCACCAGATGAACGTGCTGTCAGCTGGTGCTAGAATGGAACCGTTCTTCCCACTGAGACTACAGTCATTTTTCTTTATACTGTGCCCAAAATACAGAGACCTGCCAATGGTTCCCATCCCCAGGCCAATTAAATCAGAGTCTCTGCAGATGAGTACAGGCCATAGAGAACCGTTCTCGGTGCTGGCTGCCCATCAGAGTCACCTGGGGGGAGCTTATAATGGTGCCAAGTGTTG